TTACAGATGACATGATAGGGTACATAGAAAACCCCATAGACTCCACCAAAAAACTACTCGACCTAATAAGTGAATTTGGCAAAACAGCGGGTACAAAGTCAATATTCAGAAATCACATGCATTTTTGTACACCAACAATGAAATATCAGAATCAGAAATCAGGAAAAAAAATCCATTTGCTATGGCAACAAGAAAAATAAAGTACCTAGGAATTAACTTAATCAAGGAAGTAAAAGACCTGTACTCAGAAAACTACACAGCACTGAAGACAGAAATTAAGGGAGACACATATAAATGGAAGAATATACCATGTTCATGGATTAGAAGAATCAACATCATCAAAATATCCATATTACCCAAAGCAATTTATAGATTCAATGCAATCCCTGTTAAAATACCAATGGTGTATTTCACAGATGTAGAAAAACATTTCAAAAATTTATATGGAACCATAAATGACCCCAATTAGCCTCAGGAATTTTGAGAAAGAAGAACAAAGTAGGAGGGATCACAATACCTGACCTCAAATATATATGAGACCACTGTAATCAAAACAATCTGGTACTGGCATAAGAACAGACACATAGATCACTGGAACAGAATACAGAGCCCAGAAATAAACCCATATGTCTATGGTCAATTAATATTCAACAAAGGGAATGGAGTAAAAATAGCCTCTTTAACAAATGGTGTTGGGAGAGCCTGACAGCTACATGCAAAAAACTGAAATTTGACCAATAACTTACACCATATACAAAAAGAAACTCAAGTTGGATAAAAGACTTAAATATAAGTCGCAACACCTTAAAGTTCTTGAGGAGAGCATAGGCAGGAAACTCTCAGATATCCCACGCAGCAATATTTTCACTGATATGACCCCTAGAGCAAGGGACATAAAAGAAAAAATAAACAAATGGGACTTCTTCAAAATAAGAAGCTTCTGCACGGCTAAGGAAAACATCAGGAAAATGAAAAGGGAATCAACCGTATGGGAAAATATATTGGACAATGATACCTCAGACAAGGCTTTGATCTCTAAAATATATAAAGAATTGACATGACTCCACTTCAGGAAGAAAACAAGCCAATTAAAAAATGGGCAAAGGACTTGGACAGACACTTCTCCAAGGAGGACATACACAGGGCCCAGAGACATACGATAGGATGCTCATCATTACTAGCCATCAGAGAAATGCAAATTAAAACCACCATGAGATACCACTTCATACCAGTCAGATTGTCCAGAATAAACAAATCAACAAGCAACAAGTGCCGGTGACATTGTGGAGAAAAGGGAACTCTAGTACACTGTTGGTGGGAATGAAGACTGGTGCAGCCATTGTGGAACACAGTTTGGAATTTTCTCAAAAAGCTAAAAATGGAACTGCCTTTTAACACAGCATTTCCACTGCTGGAATTATACCCTAAGAATCCTAAAACACCAATTGAAAGGTATATATGCACCCCAATGTCCATAGCAGCACAGTTTGCAACAGCCAAGTGGTGGAAACAACCTAATTCTCCATCAATAAATGAGTGGATCAAAAACAATTGTACATTTACACAATAGAATATTACTGAGCCGAAAGAAAGAGCCACTACTCTTTGTGACAGCATGGATGGAACTGGAGAGCATCACACTAAACTAAATAAGCCAGGGGGTGAAAAACAAATACCATATGATCTCACCTGTAAGTAGAACCTAATCAAAACAACCAACAAGCAAGAAAAATATAACAAACAACACTGAAAGAAAAAACAAACCACAGTAATGAGAGGGGAGGAGGAAAGGGTGTAATGGGGAAAAGAAGGGGAAGGGTCCAGTCAAGGAACATGTATAGAGGACCCATGGACAAAGACAAAGCGAGGAAGGATGAGGGTGGGAGGTGGGGGTGGATCAGGTAGGGGGATGTGGTGGTGGGAAAATGGGGACAAGTGTATTTGAATAATAAAATAAAAAATTAAAATTAAAATAAAAAAAAAGAAAAGCCGATAGTTACCTACAAAGGAGTTCCCATGATACTGTCAGCTGATTTCTCAAAAGAAACTTTGCAGGCTAGAAGGGACTGACAAGAAGTATGAAAAGCAAGGACCTACAACCTACATCACTCTATTCAGTAAGCCTATCATTTAGAATGTGAGGGCAGATAAAGTGCTTCCTGGACAAGATAAAACTAAAGGAATTCATCATCGCCAAGTCATTAGTATATGAAATGTTAAAGGGTTATATAATAAAAAGAAGATCAAAACTATGGACATTAAAATGGCAATAAATTCACAACTATCAACAACTGAATTAAAAAAACCAGCTAAGTGAACAAGCAGAATAGAAACAATCATAGACATGGAGATAATTTGGAGGGTTGTTAGTTGGGAATGGGAAGGGGAAAGACTGGGGGAAAGGTGTAGGGATTAAGAAGTACAACTTGGTTTGTACAAAATAGAGAGGGGAATGTTAACAATATAGGGAATGGAGTAGCCACAGAACTTATATGCATGACTCATGGCCATGAACTAAGGGGGAGACTGCTGGAGGGAATGGGGGTATTGGGTGGAGGGGGGCAAAGGGGTAAAATTGGGACAACTGTTATAGCACAATCAATAAAATATATTTTTAAAAAAGACTTAATTGCTGACTTAGGCAGCTTGAATTGCAATTGTATTTTCAACACCCTCCTTCTAATCTGACTGCTTTTAAAAAGTGAGATGTCAGTCACAGGTAAGTATAACCACCCTATTTTAAAACTAGTCTTTTTTTAAAAAAAAACTGAAGAAGATACAAATAAGTGGAAGCATAAACTGTGTTCATGGACAGGAAGAATTAACATCATCAAAATGTCCACACTACCTAAAGCAATCTATAGATTCAATGCAATTCCTATTAAAATACCAATGGCATATTTCACAGAACTAGAACAAATATTCTAGAAATTCATATGGAAGCACAAAAGACTGTGAATAGTCACAGCAATCTTGAGAAAAAAGAACAAAGTTGGAGGAATGCTACTTGATATCAAAGTAGACTACAAACGCCTAGTAATCAAAACAGCATGGCACTGGCATAAAAAGACATATAGATCAATGGATCAGAATAGAGAGCTCAGAAATAAACCCACACATTTATATTCAATTAATATTTGACAAAGAAAGCAATAATATACAATGGGGTAAAGATAGTCTATTCAATAAATGGTGTTGGGAAAATTAGACCGATATGTGCAAAAAATTGAAACCAGACCATCTTCTTATACCATACACAAGAATAAACTCAAAATGGATTAAAGACTTAAACGTTAGACTTGAAACCATAAAAATCCTTGAAGAAAACACAGGCAGTAAAATCTTGGACGTTTCTTGTAGCAATATTTTTTTTCTGATATAGTGCCATGGGCAAGGGAAACAAAAGTAAAATAAACAAATGGGACTATATGAAACTAAAAAGTTTTTGTACAGCAAAGGAAACCATCAACAAAATGAAAAGACAACCTACTGAATGGGAGAACATATTCACCAATGATACATCTGATAAGGGGTTAAAATCCAAATTTTATAAAGAGCTTACAAAAGTCAACACCAAAAAAAAAAAAACCAACAAAAAAAATAACCCTAGGTGGTGTGGTTCAGTGGATTGAGCACTGGCCTGTGAACCAAAGGGTCGCTGGTTCAATCCCCAGTGTAGGGCACATGCCTGGGTTGCAGGTCAGGTCCCCGGCAGGGGGCACATGAGGTGCAACCACACACTGATGTTTCTCTCCCTCTCTTTCTCCCTCCCTTCTCATCTCTAAAAATAAATAAATAAAATCTTTAAAAAAAGACAGTCCAATTAAATAATGGGCAGAGGGACTGAATAGACACTTCTCCAAAGTGGACATAGAGATGGACCATAGACATAGGAAAAGATGCTCAACATCACTATTCATCAGAGAAATGCAAATTAAAACCACACTGAAATATCACCTCACACCTGCCAGACTGGTTATCACCAATAAATCAACAAACAACGAGTGTTGGTGAGGATGTGCAGGAAAGAGAACCCTTGTGCACACTGTTGGTGGGAATGCAGACTGGTGCAGCCACTGTGGAAAGCAGTATGAAGTTACCTCAAAAAATTAAAAATGGAACTGCCTTATGACCCAGTTATTCCACTTCTGGGAATATATCTAAAGAAACCTGAAACACTAATTTGAAAGAATATATGCACCCCTATGTTCACTGCAGCGTTATTTACAATAGCAAGACTTGGAAGTAGCCCAAATGTCGATCAGTAGATGAGTGGATAAAAAAGCTGTGGTACATTTACACAATGGAATACTACTGAGCCACAAAAAAGAAGGAAATCTTACCCTTTGCAACAGCATGGATGGACCTGGAGAGCATTATGTTAAGTGAAATAAGCCAGTCAGAGAAAGACAAATATCATATGATTTCACTTATCTGTAGAATCTAATGAAGAAAATGAACTATCAAGCAAAACAAAGATAGATCCATAAACAGAGATCAGGCTGACAGCTATAAGGGGGGAGTGGAGAGATTGAGCAAAAAGGAAGAAAAGAAAAAAATCATGGACATATAACAGTGTGGGGATTCCTGGGGCAGGGGTGGGTGAGGCGTGGTAGAGGAGGGTATAGGACAGCTAACTGGTGATGGAAAAAGACCCAGCGTAGGATGGTAAACACACAATATAGTGTACAGATGGTCTGTTGTGGAATTGGGCCCCTGAAACCTGTATAATTTTGTTAACCAGTGTCACTCCAATAAATTCAATAAAAAGGAAAAAAACTAGTCTCTTTAAAAGTACTTTCCTCAGCTTAGTAATTCTCCACTTTTTATTTTCTGCATCTTTGATTATACATTGAGGAAGATCTTCAGGCTAAATTAATTACAGAAATATTATATTCTGAGAGGAGTTAATATATTTTGCTGATAAAAAGAATAATTGGTCATTTTAGTCAGTTCACAGATAAAGTGGAAAAATATTTGAAAAGCATTGAACATAGTACCTTGTAAACATTTCTGTATTTCACAGGCTTGTTTCTGGCACGGATCCTTCTGCAGCATTTCCAGAAAACTAAAATAAGAAAAATGATTTTTATTTTGCCTTTTATTCATAAAAACTTTAAAGCCTCTCTAGAAGGAATTTTCTTCAGAGACAAGCAGTATGCACTTCCAATTGCTGGAAGACAATTACACTAAAAAATACTCTTCCCATTCATATGATGAATCAACTGTATTTTTATAATATGCATTTCATTTGATTCGGAAGATATAAGTAGCTTTACATGTAAATAAAGACCTTTGAATTCAGTTAACTCATTTTGAATATTGTAAACCAATGTTGGGCTAGAGAAGCTACACTGCAGCCTGAAGGGCCTGCCCACTACCTGACTCTTGTCATTCACAAAACCACCCTTGGTAAATGATCAAGCTCCTTGAGCCTTTTTTCTTATCATTCGTGTGTAAACTGGGGATCATACCTACCTCAAAGCATTGATGGAAGAATTAAATGTGATAAAGTATACAAAGTGCATAGAATAGTGTATGGAAGGCAGTAAGGACTTGCTACATGGTAGCTATTGTTCCCAAGATTTTTAAAAAGTAAAACTAAGGTTTTTACATATAAACTGTTATAGCTATTTTAACTCAGGAAATTCTTTATCAGGCAGTAAATGCTTTCCTAGGAAGCAGCAATATTTGGCCCTGAGAAAGGTGCTAGTTAAGCAGCTAAAATGTCTTTTGGAGCTCTTACAGAAGACTATTTAAAATATCTGTAACCAGAGAATGAACTTAAGTGCCCACAATTTTGATCAGCAACTTCTAATAATTTGAAGACACAATTTCAGAAAGAAAAAAGGCCCAGGAGCCTTTGTAGCTGATTTCATTAATGCAAATGACCTCTTCCCCCTCCCCGGAGCCCCCTAAGTTTTCAGTAGATCCAAGTTAGGTCAGTACTGGGATGGGAAACACTGGAGCAAAACCTAGAATATTTACAGGGTGGGAGAAGGAAAGGCAGGTGAATTGCTACAGGGCAAATAAGCGACCAATAGATGTTGATGCTGCTAGGAGCTGCTCTCTTCTCTCTAAATCAGTACCAAGTCCTTGGTGATCAGAGCATCTGTTCTGTAGCAGGTGCTGACTTTTGTGGGATTCATCAGATCCCAGTTCCAGCTGATGATGTCCATTAAAGGTTCTATGGCAACTTCCAATGGAGTCAATTTCAAGTTACATATCCTGACTAAGTGCTTTTGTTGACTCGCTTTCTGCCTGCGTAACCCTCTCTCTGCAGTTCCACTTGCGGTGTTCTTCATGACCCTTCCTAAACTTCTGTGTTCTTGAGCAGTTTTTCAACCCACTCCCTCCCCCAGGCCCACAGGTGGGTGCACTGCAGTGGTGGATGAAGTGATTGCCATATACTGAACAGAACAGAGGAGCATATCTTCCTAGAATTCCAGCACCTGGAAAAAAAATAGATCATTAATATCACCACAACCAAACAGACTGAAAAAAGGAGAGACGCTGGAGAAACAAAAATACGTACCAGGTTAATCATCAGGCAAAAGCTTAAGCAACAGCTCCTCTACTCCCCTGACCTGTCAGAAAAAGAAAAGTTTATAGAGTACTCTGTTACAAGAGTCCCAATACAATGGAAAATGATTAAGCAACATGTGTACCATTAAATGATGCTGGATCTGCCACAAGCGAGAGTTGTTATCCATGTAGCGCTCCCCAGGGTAGAGTTGCCACATGAGAGGTAGCTGGGAGGTAAGAAGGTGACTTGGCCTAGCTGCGTCACCTAAGGGAACCTGAACTTGCTGGACCCGTGCCCTTAGGAAACTCGTCCCCTAATGGAAAAAAATGATCAAAAATAAAACCAAAGACTTTAGGATATTGAGACTAGTTAGAAACCAAGTTTCTTGAAAGCAAAATCAATAAATAAATAAGCAAAATGTAAACATTTACCTCTTCCACGACGGCCACCCACGTGCGCTGGTATTCGTCGCGGTAGATACCCTCTTGGTGAACCCAGAGGTGATCGGGTGGAGCCCCCACATCCTCTCCTGCCATTCTGGGCTTTGAGTTCCAATTCTAGCCCTGCTTTTCTCCACCTAAGCCTGCAGCACCCGCGCACAGGACACAGGTGTGACTTTTTGGGTTTGAATGAACTCACCAGTGAGCAAGGTGACCTGGTACTAGCAACCACCAACCAGTACCAAACCTTATACATGTCTACTTGAACAGCCTAAATAGAACCAAGGACACCTGAAGCTCCCCACAAGACACTCAAGTGACACTCAGGCAGAGCCTCGGGTTGACTACAAAGCAGTCAAGAATTCGGTTAGGTAAGTTCTGTGGAAATGTAGGACTATGAGGAGGGACCCCCCAAAAAAACCGGAATTATCTTCTGGAGGGTGGGCCCCTTGTAGTACAGGCTTCCCCCGGTAGGTGAGTGTTCTAGGAACACGTCTGTATCAGTGTACCAGCTGGCGTTGTTGTGAGAGGCTGTGTTCGGCTTCAGTGAATTTTTTTGAAGACTCTTTCAACGCATTTGCCCATTTCATGATGGATGATTTACAAGCGCACCCTCCCACACAGCACTGAGTGTTCAGCAGTTTTTGACCAAAAATGGTATGACCCCCATGCCCCACCCTCCCTATTCACCAGATCTTCCCCCCCGCCCCCTCCCTGCCCCGTCCCTGGCACCTTTTTTTTGTTTTCCTGGATGAAAAAGGTCCTCAATGGGAAACATTTTGCTGATGTGGAAGAGGTGAAACAAAAAACAGCAGAAGCACTAAAAGGCATCAGAATCAACGAGTTCAAAAATTGTTTTGAGCAGTGGAAAAAATGTCTTGATAGATGTATTGCGTCAAATGGAGAGTACTTTGAAGGTGACTGAAGTTTAAACATGTAAGAATAAATACACAATTTTTATAAATAAATTCCGTTTTTTTGGGGTCCCCCCCCTCGTAGCAATACAGGAAGCTGGCAGTGATCTCAAGTCTGCATTCACAAAGCAGTGTCTGACAAAATGTAGTCAGTAACAGAATATGCAGAGGAGTGTGCCTAAGGGCACACAGTTATTTGGCAGGAATGCAGTATAACAGATACATGTATGCCATATTCCCCATGTAAAAGCAGTTTTCATTTTAAAAGGTTAAGATTGTGAAGGCTGAATCATATGCATGGCTTTCTAAATTGAAATTAAAAGTTTGTTTTAAGAGCAAATAACCTATTTATCAGTTTCCTTAGAAAGGTTACTTATAGCAGATGGGCATTTCCAGAAGGGGGTTTTCATATTAGGGAAAATATTTAAGGTAGCTTAATAGAGTTTTTGAGCTGCAAGAGAGTTCAAGGATCATGGTGATTTGGAGCTGAGTGAGAGAAAATGATAGTTATCCACCTAGGTCCTTGTTTCATTTTAATAATGCTTCAGGATTTCACAGGAGCCCATTTTCCATACAAGTGTGAATTTAAATTCCGATTTTCCAAGTCAGAAGGCCAGAAAAGTCCCCCTGCCCCTTGAGAGGTATAGAGGAAACCCACCTTCTGGGCAAACTCTTTACATAAGGCAGACTAGTCTTTAAACCCATAATGACCCTCTGCCCAGCCCTGATCTCATTTCAGGGCCTTACAATAACTTAACCTGCATTTTGTATTTTGTACGGCATGGTTTTCACTGTGTTTCTACTTTTGGCAGAGCACAGATTCAGCACTACCTACCACCCCCACCAAAACGAAGGCCTCCTATTCCCATTAGGTGGTCATTAGGTGGGAAAGGAAGTGTAGCACAGCTTGGGAAGCTGTTAAACCCTCAAGTGAAACTGTCAAGAGCAAATGAGATGCCAGAGCACAGTATGATGCAGCCCAGGACAAAGTTAGCCAGAAAGAATTAACTGAGCTAAACCAAGCCCCTTTTTCAAAGACAACAATCTGATTTTTTTCTCTAAACACTGTTAGTTTATCTTCCTTTAAAAGGAAAGTAGAAAATATCTTTTATAGATTTAAGAAATGGCTTGACTTTAGTGAATAAATTAAGATCACAGTTGCTTTGCCCATTGTACTCTGACTCTGAGCCCATTGTAAGCTCCTGCCTTATAGGGTTTTCTCATTTCAAATTTCCCATATTATATGGCTCTCTCATTTCAAGTTCATCTAAAGTGAAACCCCTTCTCCTTAATTAAATTCTCATTTCTCTCAATGGCAACACCACCCCTCCTGATCCTGCGGAAATTTACCAGTTCCCTTCAAATTCTTCATCAGCTTCAGTTGCTACCTCCTATCTGTCACCAATTCCAGGAAGCACCATTACCACCGTATTTGAGATAAACTTTCTCCCAAATACCAGGTTCATTTTTAGCTCCATATCCTTGATCTTGTTTTCCACTTGCCTAAAATGTCTCCTCAGGCCTATCTACCTCAGTACTATTATGGCAGAGTGCAGATGCCTGCCTTCTCTATGAAAACTTCTTGCTTCTATAACTACTATAGCATTTATGTCTAAACTAAAGCTTATATTTTGGCATCTAATTATAAATTGTCTTGCATATTTTCTCTGCTCTTTTCAGAAGTACTGTCTCTCCCCAAATGCAGTATTATAACCTCTTCAATAGCAGTAATGATACAGTACTGGGCAACCCAAATCTCAAATACTAGTCAAATAATATTCCTGCAAGTGGGTGGATATGTATGGTGAGTAGAGAGGTGAAACAGATGAAGACCATATATACATGGGTAGAGACTGAATCTCTAGGTGTGAGTGATTATATATATATATATTTTTTCAAAGCCATTTTTTTTCCATTTAGCAGATCTTTGGGAAGGAGTGATACAAGCAAAACCCCAGTAAATGCTAATGGCAAAATAAAATATATTAAAACCTGGATGTCAAGTACAAAAGAAGTAAGTGTGACTACTTTTTTTTTTTTAAAGTAGAAACCAAGTGTTGTAGATTTCAGGACCATTTCAACTTCACAGATAGGTCCTAGCAACAATCAACATCATTAACATTTAAATTTGTTTTGAATGAAAAGCAACATTTTACTGGGTACCCTAACATTACAAGGAAATAATTCCAGTGGAATAGAGGCCAGGCAAATTAGAGATGATGGTCTGAGTTACTATGAATCACTACAAAAAGGCCTATGAATCATTACAAAATATTCTTCGAGGAAAGGCAGCATGGTGTTCTGCTGTGATCCAAAAGCCGATATTGCTGGGCATCAGCAGGATGAGCCTGGGAAGAAATCCCAGCACATGACCCTGTATGCTACCACTCAGAGATAACATGAAGTTCCCAGTAAAAGGCAACTGCAGTGGTAAAGGGACTGAGCAGCTGTCTTGTGAACGTAAACATCCTCAGCAGAGAATCGCAAAGGCTGAGTGAGAGGGATTAAGATGAAAGTCCACAAAATTACAGGTTGTATAAATATGATTCCGGAACACTTGCCCCTAACTTTTTCCTTGGTCAAATAAGTTTGGGAATCTTGTAGAGTCATAAAGCACATTAACATAGTAAAAGCTCTGGCAAGTTATGCAAAAAAGAAACTTTATTTTAACATTTCCCAAATTTATTTGACTAGAAAACATTTCCCTGCATGTGACAATTGCTCACAAAATTCAGGACCCCTTGAACTGGGATGAATCTCTTATAACCTCAAGATAAACTTAGGTACAAGGTACAACATAATATACGGAACCTAAACTTGCTCCACTCAACTCAAGGAATACTACCAGCTGCAAATTCAAATGGATTTTTAAAAGTGTTTATATAGCTTTATCATCCATGAAGGCACTGAAAGTGATTGTCCCCATAGGGGGTCACCTTGATGCCCTAGTCAGAGAGCACACTGGCCTAGAGAGACTATTTCTTGGTAAGGCATTTTGTAAATTACATTTTAAGTGGATGATATACAACATAGAAGGCTTCCTTAGGTCGTAATCTAAGTAAAACCATTATTTTTCCTCTATAGAATTAACTATTTTGTCTTTTTTTAAAAGGATAATTTAATTTCCAGGTTTTTTTTTTTAACAGTTTTTAAACATCAATCAGTTGAATACACTTATTTCACTTGAAGTCAATTACTGAACTTACCCAACTATAATGGATGAGGTTACCAAGAACGTAGGCCCTGGAGTCAGCCTGGCCTGTGTATTAATCCTGATTTTGCCACTTACTAACTTTGTGACCTGACAAGTTAACCTTTCTGCACTTCAGTTTTCTGAGGTATAAAATTAAAGAACATATTGATGATAATAGCACTTATTTAGCACTTCCTAAAGTTTTATATATAGATACTTTTAATCTTCATAATCACCTGATTAGATGGATTTCCCCACTTAAAGATGAGGGTAATAAGGCACAGAGAAGTTAGGTAACTTGCTTGAGGTCACACTGCTGTTTCAGAGCCTGATTTCAATTGGGGCACTTTACATATAAAAAGTATATAAACGCTTAGTAGATCATCTAACCCAGAATAAGCTTGCCATAAATGTTAATAATTTTTTCTACTCCAATTAAACATTTAGGATTGTACAATGCAGCCATTAGCATTATAAAAGTTAGAGAACGTCATTCTAAATTATGAGATTAACATCAACAACAAAGGTGGTTTTCTTTTTGACGGTGCCTAAAAACAAATTATAAACTCAAAATATCCCATGATTAAACATAATAACAGCCATTCTTGCCCCATCAGGGCAGAGCATATTAGCCACGAACAGTAATTGAAAATAATATATGGTGCACATTGAAACGAGAATATTTAGATGGGTCCAATGTAATTGCACACTTAAAATTTCTCCCAAGCTTCATCATTATCAAAATTTATCATGGAAAGATATGCCACGTGATCCTTAAGCATTAGGCAAAAATGGAGGTTACTAGCATGCGTACCAAATAGTTCTACTGTATGAGGGCCCTATCTGTGGGGGGACTTGTGTTGGAACTGACTTGGGAGAAAAGAGCAAAGCATCAACACCTCTTCAGGTAGCACCTTATGAATGTTCCCTTTCCAGTACTGCCATGTCTGCCTTGCTTCAAAACTACACAGGGAATAGGAAATGAGATCAAACAAACATAAACACTGATGGGCTGTGGAGGCGGCAAGGCATATATTTTTCTTTGATTTAGAATCGTTCCTAAAATCCACGTGTAACTCCTAACCTTGGGAGTTAAAAGAGCTGTACCCATAGCACGTTTGGCATACGTCAAAAGAAAATCACTTTTACCTATAATTTCACCATGTCTGAACATCAAGACAAGGAGAGCTGAGGAAACTTGTATGGTGGATAACTACAGTGATACATCGACCTTGAATCAAAACTGAAGTCCCCCATTCCCCTTCCCTGTAACAAATACTTAAAAGCTTTTGTAGAAAGTAGCAGCAGCTAAGCTTGACAGTGATACTTTTTCAGATACAGTATAGCACTTTCTGCAAGAGGTTACTCACATGAATATAATGTTTCTTGGGCTAATTAATCCGCCTCGAGATCAGCGAGGCTAAAACTTCCAGGTCCCCCACCTCGGGCCAGTCAAGCCGGTATCAGAACGTGAGCCCGAGGATTGCCGAGGGGCATCTGGGGCCGAGGTCACTCGAACCGAAGTTACGAGGCAAGGGCCGGCAACCGGAAGTGGTCCAGGGAGAGTGGTACAAAATTCAGGGGCCGTAACTTGGAAACAAAACAAAATAAAACCTTAACTATCTTAGGACTAAATTTCAAAAGAGCGTCCCACTAGATAAAGGGGCTGGCGCGCGCGACGATGCTGCCTCAGGGCTGTACCCAGAGCGTGTAGGCCGCGTGAGGCTCTCCTTAGCGGGCGGGCAAAATGGGCGCCGGCGCTGGGGAAACGCCTGCCCGGCCGCCCCGGAGCCGCTCACACTCCACGTCCGCCTGCGGCCCGAGAGCACCGCCTCCCAGCCACCCCCGCCGCCCCCGCCGCCCGGCCTAAAGCCCCGTCAGCAGCCGGCCACCACCCTCCGTTCCGACGGCCACGCCTTGCCCCAACCGGCGCGGGCGTTTCCCAGGTGCCGCCGGGCCGCCCCGCCCCCGCCCCCAAGCTCCGCCTCCACGCTCCAGCCTCGCTCCCGCCCCGCCCGCGCTCCCCAAGTCCCTCCTCCGCGGAACCCGCTTGTTGGAGCTCCGGGTTGGTCAGGCCTGAGTGGGCCCTAGGCGGACGTGTGCAGGGTCGGACCAAGATGGCGGTGCAGGTGGTGCAGGCGGTGCAGGCGGTTCATCTCGAATCGGATGCTTTCCTAGTTTGTCTCAACCACGCTCTGAGCACAGAGAAGGAGGAAGTGATGGGACTCTGTATAGGGGAGGTGAGTAGGTCAGTTAGCCTGGCCGGAACCCTGATGAGCAGTCCAGCGTGTCTTCGGAGCACCCAGAGCTGCGGAGGCCACAGTCGCTTCTGACTTAGATCCTTGGACAGATCCTTTGGATGGCCCTGTCGCAAGGGTTCGGTATCCTCTGGTTGCTTGACGCTTGCTTAGCCTCCCGTCACCTCCTAGCGTTCCGCATAAGTCTGGGGATGCGGGAGGGCTTTTTTTTTCTGGTAACCTCTGGCCTCTTTAAATCTGGAATTATCACCGCATTGACCAAAGCCGCAAGTCAGGCCAGAAAGACATTATAGTATAACAGGATATCAGTGTATTAGGAAGCTACTGATCACTATTAGGGCCCTTTACCTCGCCTCCAGTCTTCCTTCTAGGACACATTTTAATTGTATCAACCTAAGAGAGGAGAGGGTTTCAAAGACGCGTAAATTTCCGCAGCGTTAGGTGTTGGAGAAGGGCGAAAGAGGATGAGGAAATAGAATTTAGTAGTTTACAATCCGAATTAAAAATTCTCCAGTTCTTCATGCCCGTGTACAGGACCATATGACCTAATTTTCGTATAATCTGCATCCATGTACATCAAATAAGCGTAATGTGATCAATAATGTTTTCTCCTCTTTCCCACTCTAGTTGAATGATGACACAAGGTAAGACAATATTTGTTTACTCATGTCTTTTGGTCTATATGTCATTATTAACTCAGAATTATGACAAGATCAGCAATATTGTGTATGGATTGTATTTTTTTTCTATGGATTGTATTTTAAGTTACCATTGTCAGTGCGGAGCTCCCCCAATGATACACTTTGAGTAAAGTCCTAACCCTGAAGTTTGGTTTCCACCTTACTTCCTGGTAGGAGGATTTTTAGCTGAGATATGTATGACCTTATGTGAAAAATGTGGTTGAGGGAAACAAGATTGAGTGAACTTGTGAAAGCTCTTACAGGTAGAATTTTATTGACTGATATGGTGCTATTATTTTCCATTTCCTTGCTTGATATGTTTTATGTTCTCTCTTCCTAAAATGACAATGAGATACTGATAATTTTTTGTGGCAGTTAAGGTGCATAGTAAGAGACATTTTTCCCATTGATCCATTCCTCTGTCTAAATTGGCTCTTCCATCTCCATAGCTTTCTGCCTCCCATTGTAGGTGAGCCCTACCATCATCTCAGAGATCCCCAGTAACTTGGATGCTTGAGGTGGTAAAGACTTTGGGTTATTTTAATTTTAACTTCAAAGGATGGCAGGATGTGTACTCTCAAGCCCACCTCTTTAATAATGAGGAGTATAGGAGTTTAGCTTTGTCCATGAAAACTTCATGCACTCAGCTGCGTATGCGTGTGTCTCAGACTGCTACTAATAGATGTATGAACACAGCTTTAGCTTCAGTTTACTGTCCCTCCTCTTTCTTTGTCTCTGCTAAGGTTTTATTGTTCCTTTTTTCTAATTTATCTCCAAAAGGAGTGACTCTAAATTTACATATGCCGGAACTGAAATGCGCACAGTTGCTGAAAAGGTACGTGTGCTAGAATTTTGCATGATGGAAACTTGCAGTTGGGGAGGGATTTCTGTGCTCTGTTTGATGAATTCAGCCAGGGATTAATCCATTTTGTGTAGGGCCACATTGTAGCTGGGTGGGGTGTTCTCTCTAGTAAGGTCTAGTCACTAGGAATCGTACCAAATTTTCCATTCTTTGTAGCAAATTATTACTACTTGACCAAGATGAGTAATCACTGTCAGCTCTTCTCCTTGCTGACATCTACCTGTTTTCTGGCTGGTTCATGCCATTGTTATATTTTTTTATCCTGAGTCCCTTTGTCTACTGGGCAACCCCTCTCTCCTTGTAGGCAAACTATCCAAAGCTCATAGTTTTTAGTCTACCTTGACTTTCTCTTTTCTAGTATATTCTAGCCTTTATGGTCTAGTGTAATGCTTCTCAACCTAATTGTTGTATAGGAACAGTTAATTTTTTCTCCAGTATGGTGCAGACCAATGGTTTTGTAAAAGATGGTAAAAATAAGTTATGCCCTCTCCTCCTGCCAAGCAGATAATGGAAGTGATAAAAGCTATAGGGTAACAAACTCATCTACTTATTACCCCTATATACAAACTTTATCGTGTCAACTACTTTGTCTCCTTTCTTCCCATATGGAGGAAAGAAGTTCATTTCCTGTTCAGAGCTGCAGCTTCTTCAACTGCTTGTTTATAAAATAGCCTATCTTCTGATTTATTCTGAGTCTTCAACCTTTTCCTGTTATCTGGCTCTTTTTAAAAAAATTATTGATTTTAGGGAGAGGTGAAGGGGGGAGGAGGGGAGAGAGAGAAAAAAACAGAACCATTGATTTGCTGTCCCATTATTTATGTATTCATTGGTTGATTCTTGTATGTACCCTGACAGGGATCGAACCTGCAATCCTGGGGTATCAGGATGACACTCTAACCAACTGAGCTACCCAGCCAGGACCTGGCTCTTTCCCCATGTGATTCAAATGTGGTTAAATTACTTTTATTTTCAGAAAGGAAAGAAAAATAACTTCTCAATCTTGTATCTTCCTGTACTCACTACTCTTACATCCTACCTTTAATAGCTAGACCTCTTTTTTTAACTTTATTTATTAATTTTTATTTAGTAAGAGGGGAAGGGAGGGTGAAAGAGAGGGAGAGAAACATCAGTGTGAGAGAGAAACATCAATCAGTTGCCTTCTGTACTTGCCCCAACCAGAGACCGAACCTGCAACCTAGGCATGTGCCCTGACTGGGAATCAAACCAGTGACCTTTAGGTTTACAGGATGATACCCAACCAACTGAACCACACCAGCCAGGGCAATAGCCAAATCTCTTAAAAGAATAGGCTGCAATCATAACTTATTTACCTTCTCCATTCAGACCCACCAAAATCTGGTTTCTAATTCTACCTCTCCAGCCACGTCCTCATTGCTACATCAGTGAGTTATTTCTTGGTATTAATCTTAATCTTTTAACTTGGAACTCAGAACTCTCATGAGGTTTTGTTTGTTTGTTTTGTTTTTGCTGTGTCTCCCTATTCCTTCCCCTCACTCCCATCCTTTTTGAACCCTTCCTTCCCTGCCTGTGCATTAAATAGCCTCCAAGTTTCTGCCTTGGCCTCCTTCTCTTCCCAGATGTCTTCCTAGGCAACATTATCTCCCTTGTGGATCTAGCTGCAACAGACATTGATGTTAGAGAGATCTGTCTTCAGATCCTTTTTCTGATACTTCTACTGCGTGACTTTAGACATGTTACTTAACATCTGCGAGTTTTGCATTCTTTATCTGTAAAACAGGGATAATGACAGCCAGCAACCTCATAGAATTGTTGGGAGAGTTGGATTTGGGTAATGTATATAAAACGCTCATCTGTAAAATGGGTACAACAATAGTACCAAACTCACTGGGTCATTGGGAGAGTTACTTTAATACTTGAAAAGCACTTTTACAAGTGCCTGGCACATGGCAAGTAGCCAATAAATATTGGTCATTCTGACTGTTGTTGTTAATACCCAATAGAGGCTAGTTAGTATAAATTATCCCAAGCTCTAGAACATCACACTCAACTGCCTACTGGACTTCCAAGTTTAGCTAGACCTAGGCATCTTAAACTAGCATGTTCAAAACCCAGCCTTTCCTCTTCCTCAAACCCTTCAATATTACTCCTGCTACAGTAGTTCCAAAGCCTGGTTACAACTTGGAATCAACCAGTAATCTTTACAAAGTTCTGATGCTGATTCAGTTGGCTTGGAGTGAGACCTGGGTGACAGAATTTTGAAAAGCTACCCAGGTGATTAATGTGCAGCCGTTTGGAAACCACTGCCTACCATTCAGAACCATTAACCCAAATTGCTTTCATATTTCTTTCTAACACTTCATCCCAACTACTACTACCTTATTTGAGATACTCATCACTTCTTTCCTTGACAACTATGCTAGCCTCTCCACTGGTCTCCTTGGCTCGAATCTCTCTTGCCTGTAGTCCTTTCTTACATGAGTCTGATATTACCTTTGCTTAAAATCCAATGAGTTTCCCATTACCTTAAGACAAAGTCTCATTAATGAAGCATTCAGGGCCCATTGTGATCTCATTTCTGTTATCTCCTTACATTTCTTTACATGGATCCAAGTTCTAACTGTGGTAAACTATGTCAGTTTCCAGATTATGCTGTGCTGTTTCACTTCTTGTATCTGCTGGGTGTTATGCATGAACTGCTTCCCTCTTCTCTGCTTGGTTAATAATTTATTCCTGCCAGTTCAGCCCAGGTGCCACTTGTCTCCTTTAAGGAACCTGCCTGATCTCCAGGCTAAGGTTAGATAGCCTCTTCTGTGCTACACTAGATCCTTGAACATATCTATTACAGTGCTTATATACTGTCTCTCTTCCTGGATGTGACTATTGTATCCTGTTTATATACTTAGGCCATCATGTAGAGCCTGTCATATAGTATGTACTCAATAAGTACATGTTGTATGTATGAATTTCCTATAGTAGGAAATTAGTGTTACCTGACCATTACCCATGGAAAGCCATGCCAGGGAGTGCAAACTTTCTGGAGGGGACCAGATGGTAAATATTTTTAGTTTTGTGGGCCGTGCAGTCTCTGTTGCAGTTGCCCAGCTCTGCCATTGTAGCACAAAAGCAGCTGCAATACATAAATGAATGAACATTGCCAGGGAAGGTCATTCTGTGCCGACCCTTGATCTATATACAGGAGCAAGACAGAGGAGAAAAAAGAACTGGGCTTTAATATCTTAATTCCAAGACTGAAAAGGTGTAGGGGCCGATTTAGTCGAGGTGGAATATCTTACTTCTTATGTGACTATGACCAGAACAGTCTTCCTCTGGCCCTTCAGCCACCTGTGGCTTTCAGGGACATCTGTCAGTGCTTGGTGGCCTCTATTTACGCTTGTTATATTTTGTTTTTCATCTATTCCTGGGCTGACCTTGCCATCCTTTCCTGAACTTCTTTTGCTCACTCCTCTTAGGCACTGAAACCTTCTCTGAGTAAAGAGAGAATATTCACCCTTGACATCAACTCCTAGTAAAATGCATTTCCAGTCTTAATTACATAATTTTATTTTTCAAGAATCTATTCCCTTATCTTGAATTCTATGTCAATTTGTGCCATCCAGGTCGATATTAAACTTCATGACTTCAGTGACCTTATCTTTTTAGTGTTGGTATGGCATATCTTTTTCCCTTCTTTTATTTTTTGCCTTTCTGTGTACTAATATTTAAAGTGTGTCTCTTATTAGCAACATAGTTTTGATAATCTAGTCTGATAATCTTTTTAATTGGAGAATTTAGTCCAATTACATTTATTGTACTTATTGATATATGTGGGTTATTGCTGCCATCTTTTGCTTTCTGTTTGACCCACTTCTTTTTTAAAATTTATTTTTATTGTATTTTTCCATTATTGACCCACTTCTTTGTTTTATGTTTGTCTCTGCTCTTGTCTTTTGGAATTAGCAGCCATGTTTTATTATTCCACTTTAATCCTCCATTAATTAGTTATTAACATTCTTTTACTTTACTTTTGGTGGTTATCCTACATATTATAACATATATCTTTGATATGTTAGTCTCATATAATGACTATTTTTACCATCTTTCTGATAATACTAGAAGCTAAGAACACTTTCATTTACACCCTCACACCTTTGGGATTATTGTTGTCAAGCATTTTAATTCTATGGATATTTTATGCCCCACATGACGTTGTTATTACTGTTTTGTACAATCAATATTCATTTATATTTACACACATATTTTACCTTTTAAAGTGTTCTTCATTCCTTCCTTCATAGCTGGGATTTTCCTTTTGCCAGAAGAACTCCCTTTAGTATTTCTCTGCTGATAATGAATTCTCTCAATTTTTTCGCATCTGAAAATGTCTTTATGTTGCCTTCATTTCTGATGGTTGTATTCTTTGAATATAGAATTATCGGTTCACAGATCTTTTCTTTTTGTGCTCTAACATGTTACCCCCTTCTCTTTAGGCTTTGTTTCTGTTGAAAGTCAGCCTGTTTTTCTTTTTTAAAATCAAATTTATTGGGGTGATATTGGTTAATACAATTATATAGGTTTCGAGTGTATAATCCTATGCTACATCAGTTGTATATTGCATTGTGTGACCACCACCCAAAGTCAAATCTTCTTTCATCACCACATGTCTTCCTCCTATATCCTTTCCTCCCCCTCACCCACTTTCTCTATGGTAACCACCATACTGTAGTCTGTGTCTATGAGTTGTTTTTTTTTTTTTTTGTTCAAATACCCTTGTCTCCATTTTGCTGCCACCACTTTCCCCTGCCCCACCCACCACCAACTCCCACCCTCAATCCTTCCACACTTTGGCTTTGTCCATGGGTCCTTTATACATGTTTCTTGACTGGACCCTTCCCCTTCTTTTCCCTGTTATCCCCTCCCTCCTTCCCTCTGGTTACTGTTGGTTTGTTTTTTCTTTCCATGTTGCTGGTTATATTTTTCTTGCTTGTTGGTTT